AACGCCTTAGTTAAAAGAAACAATAGTCATTTCCGAAACAGTCAACTGATTGCTTACACATAACAATGGAATCAACTATATATATATATATATNCCCCACCTCATTACATATCACAGTAATTTGCGCAGAATTTGAGTAAAGCCGTCACGGTGACAAAATCTTCGATACGACGAACACCTTGCAGAAAGAAGAAGAAGATATACCTTACTGCCGTACAGCAAGGTCACAGTACTCAGTACGAATACAGGACCTATCACCCTGTACTTAACAATCCACTGCCTCCAGGCGTCCGCCATGTTGCTGTACGTTGGGAGAGAAAAAACAACTTTTAAACCTCACGATCATTTTTTAACCAGATGATAAATATGCGGTACCTTAATCTAGTGAATTTTTCACCTGCACATAACACGTTTTTTTAAATTCAGTCATGTTTGATGACGATTACCTTCAAAGAACGGCTCAAAGACACGTTTGTTTCTGGCTGGAGGCAAAATATCAGAAATTACAGCAAACTGAAAACCTACTCCAAAGTCAAATCTGACTTCGTTTTGAGAAATATCTTTCACTAATACAAACAAATCTTTCGCCGCTAATATAACCAAAATACGAATTAGTTCACACTGTTTAGAAATAGAAAGGGACGCCATAACAATGTACCAGCCACCCACAGATGTTGTCCTATTTGCAAAGATATTGTAGAAGATGAATTGCATTTTATGTTAACATGTCCAGCTTACAATGAAGAAAGACAAACACTTATGAACTCTATCGCCAACAACACAAGTATTACATTACCTAAGACAGTCTCAGATACCTTTACTTTTCTAATGTCATGCCCCGATGCAATCTCACCATATATAGGCCAATATATTTCTAACGCCTTAGTTAAAAGAAACAATGTCATTTCCGAAACAGTCAACTGATTGCTTACACATAACAATGGAATCAACTATATATATATATATATATATCCATTATACTAGTAATACTTAAGTATAGGACAGAGTAGTATTTAGTTGTAGATTTACAGAACCCCTGTATAATGTTTGCCATTCCTTTTGTATACTAGTACGATGTAACTTAAGTTCGATTCATATACAGCATGAATGTAGTACTCTTTTACGCATTAGTTTAGATTTTAGATTTGTACTTAGTACCGCTAATTGCCATACGATGTATCCGTACATTAGTTGTGCAATAAACTTTGACTTGACTTTGACTTGACTCTGACTAAAAATGGAGAAATACGCTTAGCCTATTCTTTGTTCTGCCTCCATGAACTGGATAATGGGCGTGCTAAGGTTGCCATTAATTTTGCCAAGGTCTCATTTCCAACATGGCGGGGCCCGATCGCGCTACTAAATTTTGCGTGAACGAAGAATAAACAAATTCTATACGCAAATAGTGTTCATAATTGTTTGTCCCGGCCGCTTTAATGGTTAATTCAGAAGGACTCTGTATCATGCTAATATTAAGATACTGTACGCTCTACGCTATATTTTAGATCTGAAGGTGTACAATGCTTCGAGCATGCACTAAAACTCAACCACCTGACGGCTGAACTTTTGTGCCAATAATATCCAAGCAGATCCTAGGGTGGCTAAAGACAGTATCAAATTGGCCAGGCAGTATTCATTGGCCAGAGAGGGTCCATACGCGACCCAAGGGACCCTCTCTGGCGAATGAATTTTACTGTCTTGTCAATTTGATACTGGCTTTTGTCAAACCGGTGCAATAGCTCAATTGGTACGTAGAGTGCTCGCTTTGTAACCGGGAGGTCGTGAGTTTAAACCCCGGCCGGGTCATACCAAAGACTTTAAAAATGGTACACACTTCTTTGAAATTCTCTGCTTAGCACTCAGCACATATGAGAAAAAGTGTGGGGAGGTCAAACACACAGCACTACCAGCGGACCAGCCCCCTGCTGTAGTGCATTGCATAACTGTCTGTGTGTCGCCCAAGGGCTACAGAAATGGATATGGGCACCACCCTACGCTCTGCATAAGAAGCATGGGAGACCTTTCCTTTCCTTTCCTTTTGTCAAATATAGCCAAATATACTAGTGGTGATTTCTGGAAGCTTCCTAAACTTCCACAGAGACTGAGAATTTGTACAGTGAAGATACTCTCACCTGTGAGACGCAAATTAGACAGCAAACTTAGGGATACTTCAGTTTCAGCAGTGGAGTCCGACCATGCATGGAATGACGACTTGTCTTTCTACTTCAGGTCATTGTGAGTCAAAAATGTCGTTGGTCATACTATTGTGTTTGTGTGTGTGTGTGTGTGTGTGTGTGTGTGTGTGTGTGTGTGTGTGTGTGTGTGTGTGTGTGTATGTGTGTGAGAGACCATTTGTACCGTGGCCGACAAGTACAAAATTTTACACCGCAACTTTTGGTGTTTTACACCGCAACTTTTGGTGTTTTACACTGCAACTTTTGGGTGTTTTACACTGCAACTTTTTCTGTGTTTTACACTGCAACTTTTGCAACTCTGAACTCTGGATATTACAAGTACAACTCTAACATTGTAAATCTGAACGTTTAAGTAACTATCGCCGAACTATTAGCGAGGACAATGTATATTTTATATTTTTGTAATTTATCTATTGTAATGTAATAGTTTTAAGGTTTCAGATATGGATCACACAGGCAGTTGCCTTTTTATCCATTAAAAATGTATGTATGTATGTATGTTTTACACTGCAACTTTTGCTGTGTTTTACACTGCAACTTTTGGTGTTTTACACTGCAACTTTTGCTGTGTTTTATACTGCAACTTTTGCTGTGTGGAAAACCTACACCCCTCCCCTTTTATAATGGACGGTCCCCCTGTCAGGTCAAAGGTGACAAAGACGGGCTGCCATTTTGTTTGTTGTCTGCACGCTTGGGCGACGCTGAATTTTGTAACTCGTCTCATTTTTTTCGATATTGTCGAACGGCTATCGTTTCTGTAAATTTATGGAGAAACTTCTAAATCGAAATATACGCTAAATATTTATAAATACCCAAGTGTAGATAAGCTGGGAAATTTCAAAGCGTCGCTGCGTCACATGTGTTTGTGCATGTTCACAAGATTTTTTTTACTGTGGTTTGCTTAGCACTGCATAATTGTTAAAAATATGAACTACTTTATGTTTAATAAATATTTTATTTATGGAAGCACATCAGTGTTTTGCTTGTTCCTATGTGAAGCACTAGTACTGTGCGTTGTGTGCATGCCTGTAGTCAAGAAATGAAGCGTGATTGCGATCGTACCGTAACGAGCTTGGGGCAAGAGGGAGGGGAGCGGAAGTGGTAAAAAAAAGTTGCGATCATGAAAATTTAGCGGTGGAATAGTGACCGCTAAAACCGCTATAATTAAGTGACCGTTATCAAATCAAGAATTACAGCATTGTACTTACATGTATTAGTAAAAGTAGTATGTGCTGTTTGGCATAATCTTGCCGTGAAATGTATCATCTTGGTTGTATAAAATCAACATTTTAAACAGTCATCAGTCAGCACGATGGAGAATAAGTAAGTAACATCTAGCGTCAGTGCACAGTAAACCAGTCAGAATTGATGAAGATGACGGACGGTCATCGAAATGTCGGCTCGTGAAAAATAAATGGTTGTGATCAAAGAACTTTGCAGTGCTATTCATTCGTTTATCAACTTGATGAAATTATTTACGAATAAGAGTACACAGTATGTATGTCTGCGCGAGAGCGGAAAGCTTTTGTGCACGTTTGGTTATTTTTACAGGCGGCCAACATAAAGTCCCCCTGCCCCACCGAATCTGCTTGGAGATTACCGTCACCTGTCTGAGGTGAGGGTTATCTCAAATGTGACTTGAACACGCCGCGGGTTAGGCGCTAATTGGCACGTACGTAGTTAGGAGCCGGTTAGTCGGGTGGGTCTCCATTGTTGTATCTACTGAACTTTCTCAGGATAAAGCCAGCGGATTTAGTTTGGAACATTCCTGGCTCTGAGTTTGTCGATTAGTCGTAAAAATCTTACCATAAATGTCACCGTGCTTATCCGACTGACATGTCTGTGCTAAACTGGATGGGAAAGGCACATATTTATGTAATGATAATCATGACTTCTCATGCATTTGTGCCACCTGAAGGGGTCTGTAGAGAACAAACATGCGCGTGTTCATGTCTACAAGGCCCTCTCCAAGGCAAGAAGCCTTGAATTCACCAGCATGTGTAATCATTCCCTCTCCTTAGGCAGATTTCTTTTGTATATTTAGCCTTGGACAGATCTCATACAGAGTGTTTGATCACTAGAAATGACCGCGAGGGCACAGTGACTCAAGAAACCAGACCTGTCTGATGCCAAAAGGTAGCCATCTTGAAATGGTAAACAAAAAAACAAACCTTCACCTCTATTTTCTACCAAATACCCCGTATTTAATGGAAATTGTGATTCTTCCCAAGGGATGAATTTGCACGTGTTCAATCCATTGGCCTATCCTAAGTTACGAGTTTTCATACTGAAAAGCATTTTAAAATGTGTACAGTGTGGAATACGTTAACGTTAAGTTTAGAACTTAATAATCAATACAAAGTACACTGGAGCCAATACCTGAAATTTAGGTACAGTTGAAATAATACTTAAATATCAAAGCGCACTATATAATATAATATAGTCTATCCCATAACACACATATGTTCCAATATTCATTCCAATATTATATTCTTGTACACAGCGAAGGATAATATACACATCACCGACGATATTTTCGTATGTTCACATTTGTTTGGCTGTCACTTCATGATATAGATGAATTTTATTATTATTATTATCAATATAACAAAAAATACGGCGACATTTGTTTGGTCTTCTACAACCACACCTATTAACAAACATATAAACATATAAAATTATACAAGTGCAGCCTAGGATTTGTCTATAGTTCCTAAAACTGTTATAGTTAAATGCCATTTACATGATTCATCTTGTTATAGTCACCAGAACGTACATAAAACTATAACATGACACCGGTGTGTCCTAGACCTCAACCAAAAGGTTTTCATCACTATCGTCTTCTTCTATCCTTTCTACGACACACCTGTGATATTTACATTTTTCTGGAGTAAACTTTATGATCACCAGCAGTGCATTTGTAACGAGCAGGACACACACCATTCTGCCGTCTAGGACTGACCCCTGATATAGATAATAAACCCACATTTGTATGGGGAAGTGCCCAGCCGTGGTCCACCGCAGCTTATTCAGGAAGACAAGCTCGACGGAGACGGTGGCCAGGACGCAGATGGCGAGTAGAACCATGAGCAGGGTCGACACGGTGTCCGGTCCGACGCCGAAGTCCTGGACGAGCAGCGCGCCGAGGAGCGTGGAGGTCTGGACGTAGTTCCAGGTCATGTTGTAGGCCACACAGTTCTCAACCAGCAGGGCGTAACACACGCGGTGGCGGAGAGACATTCGGGACATTTGATTCTCGGACATGTTGTGGACCAGGAACAACAAGGCGCACAGCAAGATCTGGTGGATAAACTTGATCGCCACAACAGCAAGGCCGTTGTAGTGGAGGTACGTTATCGGCAATGCGACTAGCTCCCTCAGGCACACGGCCGTCACCACAAATCCGAGTTTCGTGTCGTGGTCGTCCCAGAAGCTTCTCATTGTAGTCAGGAGCCAGTAGACTAAGCAAAGCGCTCTCCAGGCAAAGCCGATCGTGTTGGGAGTACTTAGAATTGACCCAGCCAACGCGATGATAAACTCATTAGCCATCTGTGTACAAGTGTAAGAAGAGAAATGTCTGTGACTAGAGGGCATGTTTGTGTTAATCAAAACATACTTAGTAAGAATAGGTAACACCCGGCCCCCTTTCCCCAATAGATATATGCTGCGACCGATGAGCTATTGGTATAGCATATAACAGAGAGACAGCCGGGATTTGACTCAGAACTCAGTGCAGTACGTTTAGTCACATTCAAGCCGTACCTTTTACAGTTTTCAGCCACGCAGCAGGGACATGAGACAGTCTCCAGTACAAGTCTCCAGTTGTTGTGCAATCCGGCCTTGATTCACCTTGAGGTACCAGTATGCAAATCACTTTAACACAAGGACATGGTGGGACAAGGTCGCATTTAAATCATCTGCAACGAAACTTAGTAAAGCGATCTCTAACGTTTAAACAGAACCAACCACAAACTAACTAGAAACGAAAAGGCATGCACTAAAGCTAGCTAACCTAACCTGGTAACGTCTGAAACATACGTGTGCGCCACTATATTGTTATGTTAAGCTAACACTTTTTTGGTTATCAGTTGAGTTGACCCTAAAGGTCGTGACCCTACTAGAGCTCACCTCGTGATGTGGCCCCTTTGTCCGCCATTGCTGTTGTTCCTTTGTCGGAGGTGTTCATTAAAGCTCTCGTCTCCGGATCGCATCTTGTTGTCTTGAGTCGTCGAGTACGCACCATATAAATTGCGCTTTAAATATAAATACGCAGCCTTATTCTAATTCACAGCTTGAACTCAACGAGTCGGAACAACCTCGGTGAAGATATTCCCTAGGTCTGATGCGCCTCAAGTTGAGGATGTTATAATAGTGGCTGTGGAATCGGTAAGAACGATCTGACTGCGAGGTTAGACCGACATTTGCTACGTCTATCATTTCAGACAGTTATATCCTTTGTGTCCTAATTCCACTCCCTGTTACTGTGACTAGTTTTTGTCGAAACAACAAAAAATACAGCAACCTTTGTAAGTTTGTATTATCTTCTACAACTGCACCTATGAACAAACAAGTAGATACAGATGGAATTATATATGAAAAGTTTATTCCAAATTCATGCCAAGAGGCTAAATGCAGATTACAAACATGAAAGAACATTGAAACAGAGTATAAAATAACTAAAATCTACATGATGAAAGGTAGTTGTGCAAAACTATAGCTATGTCTAAAACTATGTCTGAGGGTTTGAAACATATACGATTATACAAGTGCATAGCCGTAGTCAACGCCTTAATAATCCCACATATAGACTACTGTTGCTCCGTATGGGGAAACACAACACAGAACAACATGTGAAGACTACAGGTGGTTCAGAACAGGGCAGCAAGGCTAGCTCTTGGTTGTGATCGTGATGCACATGTGGACACCATGCTAAAGACCTTAGGATGGCTGACTGTCAGGGACAGAATCCAACAGAGAAGCCTTGTCACTTTTACACGTACCATGCTCACCAAACAGCCAAAGGCCTTGTACGACAAAATCACATTCCAATCTGAGATTCACAAGTACAGCACACGTTCAACCAGCACAAACAAAATCAGACTACCAAAACCAAATCCAACTCTCAGAAAAAGCGCTGTATATACAGGATGTCACAGTTGTGGAATAACATAGGCAACTAGCAAAGTACTGGATTGTAAATAGTGAATTGTATAAAGTTTGCCATGTACTGTTAATTCTGTAATGTTTTGTACGTTTGTAATATATGTATGTAAACATGAATGTGCAGACCACAGGAAGAATAGCCTCTTATGAGGCTAATTGTGGATCTGAATAAAACTGAAACTGAAAGTGCAACCTGGGGTTTGGCCATACTTCCCGAAGCTGTTATAGTTAAATGTCATTTACAAGATTCACCTCGTCATAGTCACTACAACGAAAATAAAACAATAGCATGGCACCGGTGTGGCTCTACCTAGACCTCAACCAAAAGGTTTTCATCACTATCGTCTTCTTCTATCCTTTCTACGACACACCTGTGATATTTATATTTTTCTGGAGTAAACTTTATGATCACCAGCAGTGCATTTGTAACGAGCAGGACCCACACCATTCTGCCGTCTAGGACTGACCCCTGATATAGATAATAAACCCACATTTGTATGGGGAAGTGCCCAGCCGTGGTCCACCGCAGCTTATTCAGGAAGACTAGCTCGACGGAGACGGTGGCCAGGACGCAGATGGCGAGTAGAACCAGGAGCAGGGTTGACACGGTGTCCGGTCCGACGCCGAAGTCCTGGACGAGCAGCGCGCCGAGGAGCGTGGAGGTCTGGGCGTAGTTCCAGGTCAGGTTGTAGGCCACACAGTTCTCAACCAGCAGGGCGTAACACACGCGGTGGCGGAGAGACATTCGGGACATTTGCTTCTCGGACATGTTGTGGACCAGGAACAACAAGGCACACAACAAGATCTGGTGGACAAACTTGATCGCCACACAGCAAGGCCGTTGTAGGGGAAGTACGGTATCGGCCATGCGACTAGCTCCCTCAGGCACACGGCCGTCACCACAAATCCGAGTTTCGTGTCGTGGTCGTCCCAGAAGCCCCACATTGTAGCCAGGAGCCAGTAGACTAAGCACAGCGCTCTCCAGGCAAAGCCGATCGTGTTGGGAGTACTTAGAATTGACCCAGCCAACGCGATGATAAACACATTAGCCATCTGTGTACAAGTGGAAGAAGAGAAATGTCTGTGACTAGAGGGCATGTTTATGTTAACCAAAACATACTTAGTAAGAATAGGTAACACTCGTCCCGGGCCCCTTTCCCCAATAAGTGGACAAGTATATGCTGCGACCGATGAGCTATTGGTATAGCATATAACAGAGAGACAGCCGGGATTTGACTCAGAACTCAGTGCAGTGCGTCTAGTCACATTCAAGCCGTACCTTTTACAGAGTCAGCCACGCAGCAGGGACATGAGACAGTCTCCAATACAAGTCTTCAGTTGTTGTGCAATCCGGCCTTGACCTACCTAGATGTACCAGTATGCAAATCACTTTGACTAGGACAACCTAAGGTCGCCTTAAAAATCTGCGACATCTACATCGAAACTTAGTAAAGCGATCTCTAGTGCTTAAACACTGAACCAACGACCAACTAACTAGAAAATTGAAGGTAAAGTACAGCACGTCTCTATTCCTAACAACGTCTGGCCTATGATCTATAATCGGTACGTCACCATAAACAACCCAGGCTTGTCACTAACCCATTGTTATCATACAGATAATTGGTCGGTGAAAAATGTGGCAACAATCGCAGATGTCAGAGCTAGAGGCGACGGTTACCAGCGGTCGCGCAGGCTCGATGATCCCTATTTTAAATCATGTGGTAATTATATGTCTAAAGGTTTCTGTATTGTTGTTATTTCTGGTGGAACGTAAATACCCACGATCTTGCTGTTTTCAGTCTAGTCGTTACGTTTCTAGAGCACTTAACCTAACCTAACCTGGTTAGGTCTGAAACATAACTGTGTCAATATAGGTAGTACGCAGTCATATTCTAACTTAAAGCTTGAACGCAACGAGTCGGAAAAACCTCGGTGAAGATATTCCCAATGTGTGATGCGCCTTTGGGTATGTTTAGTGGCTGCAAAATTGGTATGCACGATGTGACTGCGGGGTCAGGCCGAGACATTTGCTACGTCTATCATTTCAGACAGTGACATTACTTAACAGTTGATTCTACTCGCTGTTGTTGTTGTGAAGTCATGCGCGTAAAATTGTAGTGGCAAGGCTAACTACCGGCAAGAATATCTTAGCTTTTTCTGTCACAAACACAGCTGAATTTTATACGACTCATCCACAACTGTACAAAGAATTTCGCTTCAGTTTGCAATCGATCGTACGATGAACGTGCAGGTGGTTTACCGAAGGTTTTACGAAAGAAAGAAATCCAACTCTCGGTCAACAATGATTTATTTATGATAACTTAGACCTAAGACATTTTACTACCCGTTCTTGCCAAAAGCTTAGAGATAACAGTACGGGGTACACTGATAATTTGACACATTGCACACATTGTATTGCATAGCTTTTGTATTCACTGGATTTTGATTTCTAAACGCTTAGGAGTAGTAAACTTTCAGTAAGAAACGACACACACACACGCACGCACACACTCACACACACACACGCGCGCTCACGAACGCACGCACAAACTCACGCTCGAACGCGTTCTCACACAAAAGTATATTCAGAAAGAATTACATGTAACTACAAATGATCGTAATCCTTCATTACAACCACAGTGCACTACGTGTATCTGAGAGGTTCAGAGGTTCATAATTTTGAGAAGTTTAGTATAATCATGATAATTTGATACATCACACACGGCGTTGTACATCAGCAATGTACTGCAGAAACGTCGTGGTTATGTTTTCACCGAGGTGAAAAAAACATCTGTGTATGGATGAAGTGTAAAGAGTGTCATCAAAACGTCCGACTGGCTCCTCCGATGGGCCCCACTTGGTCGGCTAGATGCTTCTCCACCCTGAACGGCTCTATGAAGGAGCCGGGAACCATCATCTTGTGCGCGGGCACGGGGCCGGGGTACCGGAGGGTGGTACTCACCGTCCACTCACGGGCCGACTCGTCGTACACTTGAACTTTGCTGACGTAATTCATCTCACCAGAAACTAGGTAGACACGAGGATAGAGAACGAATGAACGATTGTATGAATGTATGAATGGATAAATGAACATTCTAATCGTTAAAATAAAGCAAAGGCCAACGTAACAACAGAGGTTTGAAAGGAAAACTATAATTTGTTCTAACTGATTGTGTGTGGACCAGGGTACGGACTTTTCTCACAGACTTTGTTTTTACGTTGATATCTTCAGGTTCATTTGCTATCTTCAGTATTATTCTGTGTCAACTAGATTCGATAACGATCAAAGTCATGCGTAACGAAGGTACAGGCGTTTTACTTACAGGTACTCTGGTCACCCCCGAGGACGGTGATTTTTCCCTCCACGACCACAGCGCTGCACATGCCAGCCGGTACTCTGAGAGGCTCTATGAAGCTCCACTGGTCCTGCTCCGGACTGTAGCACTCCACAACGTCTAACGGCTCGTTATGGGTCCGCGAGAGCGACGTGTAGCCTCCTATGGCGAAGATCCTGCCACTGTACACCTATATGTATATACATGAGTTTATTGCTCGAATGTTGTACAATATACAACGCACCGCATGTCATGATTACGCACTTCTTTACTTAACAGCAACTCTAAAATGCCGTTTCTAACATCTAAGTAACATTTACTTCCAACACAAGAGAGTGGTCCAACCGAATTTTTAACCGGGCTTCCAGTCTTCCTCTGATGACCTGTTACTCACGTCACGTGTCCTGACAAATTGGGTCAGTCAGCCATCCTGAAGAAGACCAGAGGTCTGGCAGAAAACTCTTTCCGTCCAGTCCCCGTGTTGGAAAGAAAATAAGCTTTTTCGTAATCTAAGAGGAAATTGAATGCTACAGGAGGTTGTTGGCTGCATATCAATGTGGTTCTGTATAAATCTTGTCACTTTCCACGTTTTAATACTAAACCGTTACTCACCTCCATGGCATGGGAGAACCTGGCCACGTGCATGGCGCTCCTCTCCGACCACATGTCCGTGAGCGGCTCGTAGCAGTAGACCGTAGCCGACATGGTCGGGACGCAGGACATGTTCACGTTCAGTGTCAGAGAGAAGGCGGCCTCCGTGCGTTTGATCCACCCGCCCGACACGTACAGACGGTTGTTGTAAACGCAGGAGGCCTGGCAGCGGCGACCGTCGGGAATTTCCGAGCAGGGCCACCACAGGTTCTGTATGGGATCAAACCGTTCAACCGAGGACAGAATGCTGGTGTCCTCGTGGTCTTCGTCCCCTCCGACGGCGAAGAGGTTCCCCTCGATCGCGTCCATAGAGAAGCAGCTCCTTTTCGTCGACAAGCTCGAAACTTCCCGCCATTTTGCTGTCCTCAGGTTGTAA